ACTAAAACGTCAAACTTCCTAGTTACACACTATTTTTATGGAGAAATTGTCGTATGTGCTTACCCAATATTTTGTTTCCAGTGTTCATGTTCGCTTTTATTTTTCACTACCGCTCATTTTCACCTTGCTGGCCGCTAGCATTTCTCATTTTCTCACCGCCGCTTTGATTTTCCATGTTTTTCTTCCAACGAATTTTCAATAACTCGCTCTAGCTCTTTCTCTGTTATCCACGTTAGTGTACACATAAAAAATAACGCCGAAAAAGACACGAATTTTTTCTTTCTTAAAGTCCGGGCGGCCATGTGATTTCCTTCCAAATAAAACCTTGAGTTGCATTTGGGTTCCCATACCTGTTGATTGAGTTATTCTACATTGGTATGCCTGTGGTGCGGACGGACGGTTGCTCGCTCGATCGCTCGCTCGGTGTACGGTCACGTGATTACCAAATTTTCTGGGATGGGTAGATTACCACATTTCCTTAGCTATGGGGCTTCGCCCACGCGCGCGCTTCGCGCGCGGGTGGAGCTCCGCTATTAACAGGCCATCTTTGAGTTGCCCCACCTGTTTCTAAGTGAAATGATTGTGATGAAAATCGGACTTTTTTTACTCCCACGCAAATCAAACTTATTATCACAAAAAAGATTTGCACTTAGCCTTGTTTCGGGAAAGTGAGGGTTTGTGGAACTCGGAAATTGCCTGTTGATAACGTACATTTTATCTTGATTAAAAAAATCAATAAATATCGAATTAGCTAAATACAGTAAAAATCCGCGACCAAGAGGCTACATTTTCACAAGTTAACTTAAACAGGTTTATTCATAAATTTAGGTTAAATAGGTTCTTATTTTGTGCAGAAAAAAAATACATTTTATCCAGTTATTCCTTTTGTAAAACTGGCATACCATTACATTGCAGTTGGAGCTATAAGGCTTCTATGTCTCCAAAGAGGACCCTGGATGTTGACTTATCTTACTTTCCCAAGTGTACAGATTTATTTCATGGATTTTTAGCAAATAAGAACCTGTTTCCAATTTTAGGCTAAAGAGATTAACGTAGAGAAGGCCTAACCGGCAAATTTGGCAAATCTAAAAGGAAAGTTCTTAGTCGCTGGTTTTTACTGAAGTGTACGTAATACTTAAAACATACCCCCCTAGTATTTTATTTCAATAGGATTGACAAATAATGCATCGCAAAATGGAAACCAAAAGCAGCCAAAATAACAAAGGCTGCATTGGTCAAATGTTACGAAAATACATTGAACAACTGAAGTAAACAGCTCCCCGAGAAGGGGCGTTTTATGTGGGGAACCCAACCCGCGGTCCAATCGAATCCCTTACCCTTTTATATACCATTTTTGACACAAAAGGTACCCCTTTCATATGCCTTCTATTGGAAAATGATATTCCTTTCACATACCTAGTTAACGACGCATCCCTGTATTAAACTGCTGTAAATGCACTATCTTTTAAATATGAATAAATCGCTGAACTAGGATGTCTTGAAGACCACTTCTCAGCCATAAAATACGTCTGTTAGCCCTTAGTTCCTTTCCCGCCCCTTTCATATACTTCAACCAGTGAAAACTGTGCCCTTCTATGTGCCTGAAGACTGAAAATGGTACCCCTTTCGGGCGGAGCCTCCCCATATAGGGCACTGTAGGGAGTCCCCCCCCCCCCCC